GACGTGGGCCACAGCGTATACAGGCCAGGTAAGACCATGGAGTTCTCACTTTTTCGGAACGCCATACCCCGGGGTTTAGGGTTTAGGGTTTCAGGGTTTACGGTTTAGGGTTTCAGGGTTTGCGGTTAAGGGTTCGGGGTTTGGGGTTTAGGGGTTAAGGGTCTGGGGTTTGGGGTTTGAGGGTTTAGGGGGTTCCCTGGAGTCCTTGATTCTGACCAGTGCCCCTGGTAGGTATTAGGAAGATGGAATACAGGGAATGCATCTTGGGGAAGACGAGGACTTCGGTGTTGTTAAGCAGCGACGTGGAGCCGCATTTCAGCCTCCCACGAAGACACGGAATGCGTACTTGCAGTAGTACAAGATCATGGGGCTGGGCATTTATTCTCTGACTGGACGATCCGTGGACTTTAGGTTTTATAGAGGATTCTCCGGCAATTTTTTCAAGCTGAAGGTTGTGATTTCAAATCTCAACTTTTGCTTTAAAAAACCTACGAACATGCCTCAAAATACATCCTAAGAGGAAGAAGGACTATTTCGAGCATGAGCCGTAAGCGTTAAGGTGCTTCCGCCCTTGCCACCTTGCCAATGAGGTGCCAATGCCATTCTGGCAGTGTCGATGGCTGTCTGCCGTGCTGGGGCCTCCGCCAGTACGGGGCACAGAGCAAAACCTCAGTGGCAGTTGTGGGGACCAATGTTCTCCTTCTAGAATCCTCCTTTAATTGTAGTATTTCATACCCCCAAACCCTGTGACCAGTAAGTAGGAGTACAGAAAGTGCATCGTCCAGGGCTTGAGAATGGAAAGCTGCTATTGTGTGCCTAATATTCTCGTGTGCCCGAAGATACAGCAAAGCATGGCAAAGCTGTATTAGGTCAGATGCCTCTGTACCAGTACATTGCCAAGATTTCCGGAAAGCCCACAGACAAGTGCCCACCTTACTGGCTCTTGCGGCAGCTTCGTGAAAAGTTTCTTTTTAGAAGTAAAGCGCCTCATGCAGCGGCTCGCAGCATGGAGGCGCCACAGTACCGCGCTCGTAGGAGAGTATGGCACAACTTCAATGCGACCTTTCGGGCAATCGCCATGGAAGCAGAGCATCGTGGAGTTCCCTGTGGCTCGTTTGCGAGATGCAGAGCTGCCAAGTCCAGCAGGATCTGATGAGGTGCAACTCGCTAATAGCAAGTTGTCGAGACGAGGCCAAGTGGCAGCATGCTCTTTGGGTGCTACGATTTGTAGAGAGTCAGCTGGAGCCCAATGTGGTGACCCTCAGCACGGCCTTGGACTCTTGTGGCATGGGTTCGCTGTGGGGTTCCTCTCTGGCCCTTCTCTTGCAGATGAATCATGCAAACCTCGAGTTCAACGCGATTACATGCAACGGGCTTCTGAAAGCAGCGGCCAGGGCATCTCAATGGCTGCAAGCAGTGGCCATGTTCCAGGCATTTAAGATGGGAGAAGCGGAACATGGGAAGCCACGTTTGATCCTGTACACCTCGGCCATCAATGCCTGTGCTCAGAGCCAGGCAACAGCAACGGCACTCAGCCTGCTGTCTGACTTTGAAGCTTCCAATTCAGATCTTCCACCCGATGTTGCTTAGTGGTGGTCAATATGGAATATGGGAATATATTATATAGGGATTATATGCCCTTATTCCCTACTAACACCCAGTAAGGTTGTCATGTACTCATCAGCTCTGGCAGCCTGTGGAAGTTCTTGGACCGAAGCGCTCAGGTTACTGGAGGACATGAACAGGAAGCAAGTGCAAGCAACAGCTGTGCCCTTAAACTGTGCCATTCATTGTTGCAGTCAAGCTGGGAGATGGAAAGAAGCCATTCTATTGCTGCAGACCATGGAGCTTCGGAAGATTCTGGCGGATGTAGTTGCCTACACCTCTGCAATGCAGGCTTGTGGAGCAGGTGGCATGGGCCAACTGTCGGTGAAACTTCTGCGGGACATGGTGCTTCATGGCTTGCAAGCAAATCGGATCTCTTTCAATGTTGCTCTTGCCGCATGCAGCGAATGGCGCCAGGCGGTGGATCTGCTTCAGGCTGCACTGGCAAAGCACCTGATGCTTGATGCTGCCGGCTACAATGTAGTCATCGATACAATGGTGGGCCACGCCCAGTGGCAGCATGCTTTAGCCCTGCGGGACTTTATGGACACCGCCAAAGTGGAGGAGGACTAATACTGCTTCAATTCTCTGTTTGCCATGGCTTGTGTACTTCTGAGTCACAAGAGATGGGGAGCGTAAGCACAGGCAGTTAAGATGCCGCATGAAGTGGGGTTTTGCCAAAAATAGAAGGTCCCTATACACAGGGCTATAGTATTTTGGCGTTCATATTGGGGTCCCGTTATTTAGGGCAACTGCCAAGTCGAAAAACTTTGGCGCGGAATAGCCACCCGCAACTTCTGCCAATGAAGAAAGCTACAAGAACATGGTAACATAGGAAGGTGGGAACCATCGAGCATGGGGGCTATACAGGGGTTATATAGGGGGTGTATTGGGATAATGGAAAAGAAAAGGGAAGCTACTATTCAAGGTTTAGGGTTTAGGTAGAAGGAAGGCGTTAAAGGTAATTCTCCCAGTGACTCTGACCCGTGGTGAACAATTGTGAGGATGCGCTCGTAACTTTTTGCCCAGAAAATCCTGGTTTGACATGCGGTAGTTGGAGACATCTTGCACGAAGTGTGTTCTTGTGCTATGACTCGGCATGAAGTTTAGTCAGTCATTATGGTCCTTACGAGCCCAGGACATAACGTTTGTGTTTCCGGAGCAGATGGTCCCCCGAGCGTCCATGCTAGCTAAGAGAGCAACTTTCGTATTGCCGGCAAGCATTTACGTTTGGCAAAATGGTGTTCGATAACGTTCATGTACCAGAGCATGCTGTGACCCGAGCCTCCATGTTGGTCAAGATCAAATTGTTCGTGTTACAGGACATGAGCCATAATCGAATCTCAAAAAAGGGGGTTCTACAGGGTATTCTATACGGGACTACTATAGGGGCTCTTAATGGGAATGCCAGGTGTTTAGACTGTAGCTCGTATGGTTCCTCCAGCCATCCATGCTGGCCAAGATAAGAACGTTCGTGCTGCAGAACACGCGGTTCCTCCAAGCATCCATGAAGTCGCTGTTCATGCTGACCGCTAAATCACTAGGATCGATTATGCCCGTGACAGCTAGCAAAACCTACTGTAGTAGACTCGGCAAAAATGTGTACACCACAGATTCATTACAGTACTTACCTGCAGACCTCTGGGTTTTGGAATATGCAAATGCCCGATGATCAAGTCGACTTCTTCTACCTGAACAAGAAGATTGTATTTCGCGACGGAAAGTCGTACCCTGTAAATTCCTGAATCACCCGCACTTCCAGGCTCCATCAACTCGGGGCAAATGTCCTGGGCAAACCCAACTACTAGCGTAGCGCCTTCCATGAATTCACACAAACCTCCAAGTGGATACCCAGCAAGATTAGCGGCTTCCTGCAAAATAGGCTAACCCAGCTCAAACAGGCATAAGTCTGTCAAGCCTTCTGCACATACAAACACAGGCCTATCTTAGGGTAGTCACGCTCAAATTCATTTTTTTGAAAAGTCCATGTTGGCACCCTTGGCTTTTTCTGCAAGGTTTATCTTACAAGCGGACTCCCGGAGGTAGGATGCAAGGAGCCCGGGAGGCAGGATAGGGACCCCCCCACAAATTTCCAGGAGCACTTTGGCCCTGCGGACTCCATGACTCCAACACGAAACCTCCACGCTTTTGACGAGAATGCTTCTCCAACAGCTGTCTGTCCTAAACGTTCAAGTTTTTGATGCTGTTGGGGGTGGGAGTCTCAGCATCCGTGACACAACGTAGAAGCCCAACCCAAGAAGAAGGATCTGGTGAAGCAAGTAAGCGGCTTTGTTTTGAGGACCTTTACACTGGCACGGCCATGGTGTCCAAGGCATGGCAGGTGGCCATATTGCTGCTCCGAGAGTCTTCTCTGAGGCGGCCTAATATGATGGCCACAAGCTACACTGCGGTCACTGCGGCCATGAGTGTTGGAGAGAAGGCCTCGGCATGGCAGATGGCTCTGTGCCTCTTCCACGAGCTTCAAACAATGCAGGAGCCGTCTCAAGTGACCTGCAATGCTGCGATCAGCTCCTGCGAGAAGGGCTCGTGTTGGACAGGAGCCCTGGGATTGCTCAGCACTCGCACGGGAAGTACGGAAAATATGGCCAATGCCATCAGCTTTGCTGCTGCTGTGTCCGCCTGTGACAAGGCTGGCCAACAGTCGAAGGCGATGCAGCTGCTGAGGGACTTTCAGGTGAGGCGGCTGCCTCCAACAGACGTCTTCTGCAGCACGGGCTTGACTGTGTGCCAGATTCTGGATGGGCTTGGGAAGATTGTAGCTTTGTTGATTGTGTCTTCTCAGTCAAGGAGCAGAAGTAATACAGAATACTCCGACGTGCTGTAACAGGGCAGAACTCCCTTTTTTTTCACGGCCAAAAAAGTGGTGATGGACATACAAGTTGTGGCATGTGAGGAAATCATCCGACTGGATACATGCCCTGCATCTCTTGAACTCAGCGCGCAGGTTCAGCTTCCAGGCACAGGTGTCAGAAAGACATGTCCCCAGTTAGGAAAGCCAGGCCCCCTGTCCTGGTATGCAGTCCTAAACCTTGAACTCACACTATCTGCGTGTAGTAGATGCGCAGAGTAGTCCGGATAGGATCCCTCAGAACAGTCTTTGTATCTGGTGGTCCTGTATTCCCTGTTCGCCAGCATTTTTCCTGACGGTTCGGCTTGGTTTGAGGGTGCTGACTACCCTGACCAGCTGGACCGTGCGGCTTTGAGCGCCGCGGCTGCTGCCTTCGAAGATCACACTATTCCTGTTCAGGCTCTTTTCTGATTGCCACCAGCTCACCAGATTTCAGACGTCCGCCAAAGTGCGGAGTTTCGTGCTTTCTCGGCACGCTTGCTGTAGGCCAAGTCCGACGACAGAGCAAGCGCAGCAAAGAACACTAGCGAGCTGAGGGTCTGGTAATACCTTTTTGTCATGCTTTCCCTGCAAGGCGACACGGTCATGGGAAGCAGTTCCCTGCCGAGGTTTGTGATGCCCGTTCCATCCTTCAACGTTATCAATGGAGGCAGTCACGCCGGCAACCGCTTGGCTTGCCAGGCGTGTGGTCAGCTGCGCAATTCCGTTTCATTCTGCTACTCACTCCAGGAGTTCATGATCTTGCCCGTGGGGGCTGCGACCTTTAAGGAGGCCATGATTATTGGAGCCGAGCCTTGGGCGCATTGGTGTAGGATTGGGGGGGGTCCTTGGGTCAATGGTTTCCACCTCCCTGACCTGAGGAAGTGTATCACAACCTCAAGTCCGTCATCAAGAAGAAATATGGCCAGGACACTCTAGAGCTCGCCTAGGCATCTTGAACGACAGTGCTCCATTGCAGAATAGGATGCATGCAACGTGGGCGACGAAGGCTCCGAGCTTTAGCTTACCTGACACGAAGATGATAGGATGGAACGAGCGAACATCTATCATTTATCGTTAGTTTTGTAACTCAGGTGGCTTCGCACCGAACGTGCAAGACAACAACGAGGCCGGGAACAAGAGCCTTGAGGCTGAGGATTGCAAAAGCCATTGGTCCCTGCCGAGGCCCTGGATGTGCTTATGGAGGCCATCAAGAAATCGGGCCACGAAGGTGGAGAGCATCATGTTTTTCCTAAGGGTTCAGGGACACAAGCATCGATGGGGCGGGCGAGTGATGCAGGTAAGGTGAAGATTGGTACGGACGTGGCAGCTTCGGAATTCTACAAGGCTGATGAGAAGGTCCGAATATCTGCAGTATTGCTTGGATTTGGAGACATTTCTCATGTCTTACATTCCAGCCTCTTCACATTCTCAGATCTACGATCTGGACTTCAAGAACGAGGGGGGTGGTGCTGCTGAGATGAAGAAGTCCGTGCCACAGCTGATCGAGTACTACAAGTCTTGGCTGTCCAAGTACCCCTTTGTCTCCATTGAGGAGATTGCAAACCTCTCAAACATTCAGTCTTCTGAGTGCGTCTTTGGGAGGATCCTTTTGATCAAGATGACTGGGACGCCTACAAAATGTTTATGGCCGATGTCGGCAAGGAGCCACAAGCGCAGTCGCCGCGGGCTGCTGTACATGCTCGCCCGGTCTGTTTCAGTGAGGACACGCAAATTGTTGGTGATGACCTGCAGCGGGCTCTGGCATTCATCATGCAGCCCAAAACTAAAGATGCTGCTTCGAATTCTTAGGATTATAGCACCGTAAGGCCAATTTTACCATTACCCAACTTCTGATACGAAGCATGAAGATCAGCCTCATTGTGTTGAGGCTCGTGACGAACCCCACGCGCGTCAAGAAGGCGTTGGAGGTTGGAGCGTGCAACGCGCTGTTGCTCAAGGTAAACCAGAAGCTTTGCAGAAACAGGGTTTTGGGTTTCGAGTCCCTCTTCATTTGGAAAACCTTGGAGGGTACACTGCACATACCATGCTGATTCTGTGGTGCCAAGGATTGGGTCAATCACAGAGGCCATCGAGGCGGCAAACATGTCAATGGACGCGGGATGGG